TGATCAAAGTCATTCTTTATTGTTTGTCATACGTCTAGTTTTCTTTTCTTTGGTTTCTTCAATAATAGTACATTTTAAATTAATTCGATGAAGAAACATCGAAATAACAAAATATGAATTTGTCACCTATGAAAAAAATAATCTTTTCTTTTGGTGACAGTTTACTTTCTCAAAAGTTTGTTCATAGTGAAAAAGACAACAAACTAATTAACATAGAAAAATTGAATGAACCTATCGAAAAAGAAAATATTTTAAATATTTATTATAGTTTCATCAAAATCCATCGAAAAGTATTAATATTCCAAATGCAACAGGAAAAAATATTGATCATCAAGTAGTTCAACGAATCTTTTATTTTAAAATATAAATATTTATCTTCTAGAATAATATTAGCAATCAATCGACATCAAATATTCATATTATAGACAAAAATGTAAGATTTCATATTATTTTTTGTTTCATTCTATTCAATAATCTTCGAAATATAGCGATCGGAAACAATAGAAGCTTTAAGAAATCCAATAAATGATCATCATCGTTCAATCAACAATAAAAAGAAACAGTAAATACAATTATTACAACTTAATTAGTTCATAATATTTAACATAGGAATTTTATTGAATATTGTTGTCGATGTTCACGACGACGCGCACTAATGTCTTTTATTACTCTTCTTTATCTTATACTTCTTGGTATAATTCTAGCTATTATTCTTATTATTCTAATGAGAAAAACAAAAAAAACTACAAATATACCTTGTAAATATAATTTTAACATAGAAAACGTTTTTTCTTATTATTGTTGTTTTAACTCTTGAAGCTTATCTTCGATGGAATACAAGTGGTATAACTGTATTTGGTACTGCAAGCTTGAGAGGAAATACATCGTATCAGCTTGCTTACCCTTGTGGTATAGCATTTGATTCATTTGGAGATCTTTATATTAGTGATTCAGTTAATAATAGAATTCAAAAATGTAATATCAGAAATTTAACTTGTACAACAGTGGCTGGTCAAGCAAATGCAGTGTCAGGAACAAATATGAGCTATTTGCATGGTCCAACATTTTTCTATATTGATACAAATTATAGTTTATATATAGCAGATTCAACTAATGAACGAATTCAATTATGGAACTATGGTGCAACTTATGGAAACCAAATTGCGGGTATTACAGGTTAATAACTCCTTTTTTTCTTATAGAAAAATGATTAATGTCGATAAAATTTTTTAGATGTTACTGGCTCTGGATTAAATCAGTTTAATATTCCATATGGTACTGCTATGGATCCAAATTCTAATACAATATATATATCTGACTTTAATAATCATCGTATTATGAAATATTCATCTGGTAATTTAACAGGTACTGTTATTGCTGGTGGAAATGGTTTAGGAATAAATAATACACAATTGAATTATCCTGCTGGTCTTCTTTTCGATTCATCAACAAATAGTCTTATTATTTCAAATAATGGTGCAAATAATATTGTTCGATGGAAAATAGGTGATTCTAAATGGACAATAATTGCTGGAAGTTCAACAGGATTGACTGGTACTGATTCAATAAGTTTTAATCATCCAATAACTGTTACCTATGATCCAATGGGTAATATGTACGTAGCAGATACGTTAAATCAACGTATACAATTATATTTAGTTGGTCAATCAAATGGAACAACAATTGCAGGAATTTCAGGTCAACTTGGAAATAGTTCAACTATGTTATACTATCCTACTTCAGTTGCATTTGATAATCAACTTAATTTATATGTTGCGGATGAATTAAATCAAAGAATACAACAATTTTTACGTTATTAAATTAATTAATGCTTTTTATGTTTTTTTTGGCTATTGAAAATGATATACAATTTAAACAAATATAATTATTATAGAAACCATAATCAATCATGTTTTGTTTTTTCAATATTCTTTATTCATTGATTAATAATAAAATATAAATCATATTCTGTTTATTTACAATATTCTTTCTATTGTTTTCCTTTCTTTCAAATCAAATAGTAAATCAATTTATAGAATTTTTATAAACGAAACTAATACAAAATGAAAATGTATTATTACATATTAATAGAAATCAGAAGGATTTGATTAAACTATGCATTTACTACTAATTCTTCGAAATCATAATACATGTTTAAATAATTTATCTATTCTATTAAATCTCTGATTATTTTATTTAATTAATAAGAAATTCGAATCACTTATTGTTGGAATATCTGTATTTTCAAATTAAAAAAGAAAAATTCTATGAAAAATGCGAAATAAATCTATTATTATTATTTTTTTTATTAAAAACGTTTTCTAGGAGAAAACCTATATAAGTTTAATTTTTACATCTTTAACTAAAGTTTCTAATTGTAAAAAAATTGAATCAAATGAATCATTTAAACAAATAATTTTATCAAATAAATGTGAATAATTTTGTGTAATTTCAATCCATTGTTGTTCATTAACATAAAAATATTCTCTTTTCTTCTCTTCTAAAAAATTCAACAAAAGTTTAACATTCGTTTATTCGACTTTTTTAATGAAAACTTACTAATTAAATTCGAGGTTGATAAAAAATCAAACCGATTTTTCTTCGTTATTTTCTTATCAAAAATTGATTGTATTTTTTTGCATTGATTTTCAATAATAAAACTTTATTTTTCCTTTTATTTCTCAATCATTTATTCAATAAAAATTTTTTTCTTTTATTCAATATCAAAATTTCATTCACAAAATTATTTCAAATCTTTGAATTCGATGATTAAAATGATCAGCAACATAAAGATTTCCTTCGTTGTCAAAAGATAAACCTGTGGGATCATTCAATTGATTTGATTGAATTCCTCCTCCATTTCCACCGACAACAATTTCACCTTCTTCTTTTCCTTCAAACCAACGCATTATTCGATGATTCCCACTATCTGCCACATAGACTTGACCCAAATCATCAACTATGACTCCATAAGGATGAGACAATTAATTGAGATTTTCTCCTTCATCGTTTTCTCCAGCCACAATTCTTCCTTCTTTTGCATATTTTATCCATTTCATCACACGATGATTACCTGCATCTGTTACATAAACAGATTGATCTTCATCAACAAAGATAAAAGTAGGAATACTGAATTGATTGAGTTGATCTCCTTGTCCATTTCCACCTGCCACTACAATTCCTTCATTGTATTCTCCCATTTTCCACCGTCTCACTTCATGCCTAACCCAATCAGAAACATAAAGAAATCCATTTTTATCCATTGCCAAGCCATTGCAGTCAATATTGTCAATCAAAATTTGTTGATTTTGATTCAACCATTGAATCACTCGTCTGTTACCCAAATCAGCAATGATGATCAAATAATTTTGTGAATCAACAATCACATCTGTTGGTAGATACAACTGATCCATTCGATTTCCTTGTCCATTTCCACCTGCAATGATTTGTCCTTCCTTTGCATTATATTTCCATTCAACAATACGATGATTATTAGCATCAGCAATAAAAATATTTTTTTTT